TTCCATAGTGGTTGTACGAATTTACAGTCCCACCAACAGTGCAATAGAGTTCCCCTTCTCTCCACAGCCTTGCCAGCATTTATTCACCATCTTTTTGATCATAGCCAGTCTAACTGGAGTGAGGTGGTATCTCAATGTAGTTTTAATTTGCATTTCCCTGATGACTGGTGATGTTAAGCATTTTTTTCATGTATCTGTTGGCCATTTGTATGTCTTCCTTTGAAAAATGTCTATTCAGATCCTTTGCCCATTTTTTAATTGGGTCATTTATTTTTTTACTGTATAATTGCTATGGAACCAACCTAAATGTCCATTAATAGATGATTAAATAAGGAAACTGTGGTAAATATATACTATGGAATACTACTCTGCCATAGAAAAGAATGAAATACTCCCATTTGCAACAATGTGGATGAACCTGGAGAAAGTTATGTTGAGTGAAACAAGCAAAGCACAGAGGGATAAATAAATACCACATGTGCTCACTTAGATGTGGGAGCTAAGAGAGAAAGGAAGGCAGGAAAGAAAAACCATGGTGGTGTCTTGATCCAACAGAGGGAGGGAACATTCCTAGGGCTACAAATTGGAGTTGAGGTGAGAGGGGGAAGGGGAGTGAGGTTGGGGAACAATTGGAAGGGTACAAAGGGTACAAAAGTAATGTCTGGTAATGGGTATGACCCCAAAATGAATGTGGCCCCCACATCATGGGCAGGAGGCGGGACAATCACCTTTGTATCTCATGAATATTCAAAATAAATAAATAAATTAATTAATATAATATAATATAAAAAACTCCATTGAGATTTTAAAACAAAGTTGCAACAATTTCAAGCATATTGTTATGAAAACTGCTTTTGTTAGTTATTGATGTTGTAATTTGTAGAAAAACTCCTATCCTCCTATCAACATGTTGCCATTCATTTTTTTTCCCAGATCAACACGACATATTTAAAACTTGTCAACAAATCATGCTTTTTATTATATACTTTAACAGAATTTTTAAAAATCAAATGCTCTATTTGTTAATGAGAAATGGTTAGAAATTACCTATGTAGTAAAAGTTGCATAAAAATAAACTTTATTATACACCACAATGTATTATATAATTTTTAAAAGTACTAAGTAGCACATTTTATTATCAACTACATAAAAAC